AAAGGGTAAAAAAAGAAGTAAATCTACAATCTAGAGAGGGCAAGGATACAAAGTGAGCCTAGCTACCAAAGTTACAGGCATCTGCCAGTCTGAGAGAGAGCCAAGAGGGGCTGTGATTTTGGAAGGCTGAGGTCAAACCTCAGAATCTACCCAGATGGGGACATCTCAGAACCAAAAAAAAAAAAAAAAAACTTGAAAAGGGTAAAAAAAGAAGTAAATCTACAATCTAGAGAGGGCAAGGATACAAAGTGAGCCTAGCTACCAAAGTTACAGGCATCTGCCAGTCTGAGAGAGAGCCAAGAGGGGCTGTGATTTTGGAAGGCTGAGGTCAAACCTCAGAATCTACCCAGATGGGGACATCTCAGAACCCCCTTTTAAGTGGGAGTCCTAAAAGTACAGCTAGAAATACAACTCAATCTATAAAGACCTAAGGCTAAGTCACAAATACAGGAATATTAAAACTTCTACATACCTAACCACACAGTCTTACAAGATAAAGAGGAGCCCCAGAACCAGAAATAGAAATAATCTCAAGACATGGCAGATTTCAGCAGGCAACTCTCAGTAATTGATAAAATGTGCAGACAAAAGCAATTCAACATGAAAACAAATCTGCACAACATCCCAGCTTGACAGTGCAGATAACAACTAGAATATTCTTTCTCTTCAAGCAGACATTGAACACTGACCACACACTGGGCTACAGAGCAAAGTGGGCAACTAACAAGAAAAATAAATGAAAAGAAAGATTAAGCAAAGATCTACAACTTAAAGAGAATACTAAAATCTCTAGACTTGAAGCTGACCTTGGTAATGTATCTAAAAAGGCATTTGATAAGAATATATGAAAAGCATTTGGGACGTAGGATGATTCAGAGACCAAAACAGAGTGAAAAGAATAAGGTTAGTCAAGAAGAGATTCTGAAGCAAGGCACAGTGGGACACAACTATTAATACTAGCATTTGAAAGGTGAATACAGGAAGAATAGGAATTCAAGGTCATCCTTAGCTATTACAGTGAGAGTTCAAGAGACCTTGTCTTTAAAGTCAGGAATTGTTTCTAATTTCTACTGTTATGATTGGGGGCAAGATTTATACTTTAAGGGATAGAGATTATGTAGGACTCAAACTTCTGAATCCAACTAATGTGTTTTGGTTTTTTTTTTTTAATATTTCCCCCTCTTTATGGCTAGGAACTTTTCATTAGAATCTAACTCCCAAGGATGGAAAATGAACCTCACTAGATTCAGCAAGCTTCTTTTTTCCAACAAAATGGAGGTAGAGAGCACTGTTCAAGGCAGAGAAGAACCAGGTAACTTTTTTTGTAAAGTATGAACTCACATCCTTAACAGGAAAACATCAGGTGAAAATGATCAGCACTGATCAAGAACTCACCTTCCAGAAAAGCAAATTCATCCACAGCTTCTATCGCATTATCTGAAACACAGGTAAAGGAACACCTAACTCAAAACAGCAGTGAAGGACATCAGATTGAAGCAAACGACATAAAATATGTATCAATGTCCCGAGATTCATTTTTACACTAGTTCTTATATATTAACTGTTGCTCTACAAAAGAAAAGCCCAGGAAAACTGTTCACTAAGAAGGAGGTATGAAAAACCACTACACTCCTATTTTGTACAATCCTGTTTATAAATTCATTTTCTCTTTGCTCTGAAAGTTATCAGAAAAGTTTGGCAACAAAGAGGGAGTGAGAAATAACAGTATTTAAAACTCACACATTTGCAAGGATTGCCAGCTAGACAAGTGAGTCCAAAAAATAAAACTCCCTGTTGCCACAATCCAACAATCAGAAAGTCTAGATCAGCCCTCCCTTGTCTACTGGGGTACCCCGAGGACTCTACCCAAATCTCTCCTCTGGAGGGTTTTCCTCTTTCCTTGTTGAGCACAGCAATAGGCATCTTTTGCGATGGTCTCCACGAACAGTTCCTGTGACACAAACAAGTAGAGGCAAGATTACTAGGGCCCACAGAGACGTGGGCAATCCTGTCTCTACGTGGAGACCGGAGGGTGAAGAAAGGCTCTGGCACACAGGGAAGATCTAGAAACTACGGTGCCCTGGACTTCGCGAAGGCCCTTCTGCTATTCCTCTTCCCAGTAGGCTGGGACATCACGCTCCATTACCTCTAAACCTACCCCATTCATTCACCAGACGCCTGCAAGTTCTGAGTGAGCCACAGGAAGAGGCAAAATTGTTGTCCGCACCCTCATGAAGATGCAGGCGGCTAACAAATTCCGACAGCCTCTGAAGTTACCGGAGCCTCTTCCTCAGGAACAGGGGCCTCCCTGTCCCGGACTGGGCACACCTGGGCCCGCCAGGTCCCAGTCCCCTCTTCGCCGCCCCCCGCAGACCGCCCCCCGCCCGCCGCAGGGCCCGCCCCCACGAGGCCACGCCCAACGAGGCCACGCCCCGACCCCGGCAGTCCCGCTTTCCCGCCGCACCGCGGCACGCGCCAGGATAAAGATGGCTTCCTGTCCCGCCAGCGTCACGTCAGGGTCCGCTTTCACCAAGGCCTTCACTCTCGCCAGAGGTAGCCTCGACAGGCGAGCCCCGGGCGCAGTCGTCGGAGCTTGGGGCTGCGAAGCCGCTGCCTCCCCTCCGGGCGTCTCCTCCTCTCCCGGAGCCCCGCTCCCAGCAGCCGCCAGCGCCGCCATGCCTGGCCTGAGCGACCTGCGCGGGACCGCACCGCCCTTTCCCGCGCCGACTGGGGCCACGCCCCTCAGCGTGGGGGTGGCCCCGCCCCTGCACGGCGGCGGCGCCGGAAACCCGGCCCCCGGTTCTAGGGCTTCGCTACCCGGGTTCTAGTTGTAGGTGGCGGACGCCGCGAGGCCTAGCTGAGCCGGAAGTCCGGTCGCCTCGCCCGAGCCTCAGGCACGCCCCCAGCCGCTTCTCGGTAACCTCCGGGGAACCCGACGAGAGGGCTGCTGGCTCTACTCCCACCCAGAGCGCGCAACCTGGACCAGCGTGGCGAAGAATCTGTTTTACATGCAGGGGGTTTTGACGCTAGAAATGGAAGAAGTGAGGAAACCACAAAAAGAAGCGTGCAGTGAAGAGCATGAAATTGTAATCCACAGTTGCGTCAGATAACTGGATCCCGTTACACTCCTGAAAATCGAGGGCACTTGTGTTTCTATAGGTTATATCAGCATGAGTTGCGTTAGATTTGTCTTTAAATATGCGGGTACGTTACCCATTTTCGTAACTGATAACTTCAAAAATAAAAATTGAGAGGCTGGAGGGATGGCTTAGAGGGTACCAGCCCTGGCTGCTTTTGCAGAGGACCAGCGTTCGGTTCCCAGCACCCACATGGCCACTAACTAGCGTCTGTGACTCCAGTTCCAGGGGAATTTGATGCCTTCTTCTGACCTCTAGGGGTATTGCATGATACAGATGCACTTACATACACGCAGGCAATATACACACACGCACACATACAAAAATAGAAATAATTTAAAAATTTTTTAAATGAAAGTGAATCTAGAAAAGACTCCCACGTGGACCTTGGGCCTCTAGGCACAGAAGTATATATCCACACTAGCAAGTATAAAAATAAATAATCGGGCTGGAGAGATGGCTCAGCGGTTAAGAGCACTGTGCTCTTGCAGAGAACCAGGGTTCGATTCCCAGCACCCACATGGCGGCTACGAACCCGTCCTTAACTCCAGTTCCTGGGGAATCCGACACCCTCGTCTGACCTCCGTGGCATTGCACGACATGGGTGCACTCACATACATGCAGGCAATACACTCGTACACATAGTAAATAATAAACTTTAAAGCATTTACTGTGTACCTAGTTGAATGCTTTAGATTTACATAATTCACATTAACTTGTAGTCATAATACTATTACTATTGAAGCAGGTAAGTAATTTTGTTTGCAATTAAGATGGAGCCACAGAATGGTCAATAATGCACACACAGAAGAACGTGATGCCAAGGTGATGTTGAACATAGGCTGTCTGAAATCAGTCCCAAATATATGTAATAGGGGTTGGGGATTGAGCTCAGTGGTAGAGCACTTGCCTAGCAAGGGCAAGGAAGGCCCTGGGTTTGGTCCTCAGCTCCAGTCTACAGTGAGTTCCAGATCAACTGGGGCTACAGAGAGACCCTATCTCATAAAAGACCAAATTAAAAGTGTCAGAGGAGGAGGGATGAGCCACATTTAACCGTAGTTTCCTTATGATTTCGTCCTGAGGTCCCATCAGTTTGTATTTGAGAAAAGGAGAAAAACAAAACATACCAAGGAACTTTACTCTCAATCAGTTCAGCATTTACAGAAAATGATTAGACAGTGGTTTCTGATCTGTTCACTCCAGCTTTTATTGAAATAATAGAAATTCAATGTAACCTACAAGGCTTTCGCAATTGGGCCCCTTCCAACCTCCCCATGTTCATTTTATAACACCACCCAGCCCTCTGGACACGTGGGCCACTGTGATTTGTCTTCAGTTCTACAGTTCTGCCACAGAAGCTTTTCTTTCCTTCAAATCCCAGCCTCTCTATGGTATGGAAGCTTCCCCTCCCATCCAAGTCTCCATGGGTGAGATCAAATCATGAAGACCACTGAGTCCTTTCACAGAATTGATCCCAAATGCTAGCTTCCTGCTGCTCCCTGTGCGATTTTTTTTTTTCCTTTTGATCAGTGTCTGACTTCTCTAGCCAAGCCCTCTCATCCTCAGACTGAAAATCTCTGGAGTAAGGTGTCCCTGTTGGTTTTGTCCACCAAGTACCTGATACTTAGTAGGTGCTCATCTGAAATTGACATCACCTCAGAATGCATGTTAGAATCTAAGGGTAAAAGTCATTTGAAAACACCTACCAAGCTAAGTGTGGTGGCACACATCTTAACCCCAGCACTCGGGAGGCAGAGGCAGGTGGATCTCTGTGAGAGTGAGGCCAACATGGTCTATAGAGTGAGTTCCAGGCCACAGGGAGACCCTGTTTCAAAAAGGACAAAAATCAAAAAACAAAACAAAAAACACCTACCAAAGACCCCTAGTAATTCTGTCCTTCTCCTCTCAATCTTTAGAATCTCAGACAGTTTTTTTTTTTTTTTACTTTAGGTTTTCTGAGACGAGAGCTCATACTGTAACCCAGGCTGGCCTGGAACTGCTAACAGTCTTCCTGCCTCAGCTTCAAGTGCTGAGGTTACAGGCGTTAGACATCATACCCAGCTTCAAGCAATCAGTTTGACATTTGCATATTTTGTTTTATTTGATAGAAAGTTAAATGTATGAGGAAAGAGATGGCAAATTCATTTAAGAACTTTAATTTTTTTTATTTATTTACTTTTATGTATAGGAGTGTTTTGCCTGCGTGCACCTGTGCCATGCAATTCCCACGGAGACCAGAAGAGGGCAGCAAATCCTCTGGAACTGGAGTTAAGGATCTTCATTAGCTGCCTTGTGGGTGCTAGGAACTGAACCTGGGTCTTCTGGAAGAGCACCCAGTGCTCTTAACTACTGAACCATCTCTCCAGCCCCACGTTTCATGACTTTAAAAACCTTCAAATAAGGTAGATACTTGTAATAACCCCTTTGGACCATTTCCTCCTTTTCAGTTGCTTCTCTACCTGAAGAGCAGACACTGCCACAGTTCTCAGGAAGTCAGCTCTCAGCTTGTCCCAGGAGCAAGGCTCACCACGGGAACAAGGCTCACCACAACCTTGAGGCCAGCTGTGTCTATCTTGTGAGTGCCTGGGCAGGCAGAACTATATAGTAAGACCTGGCCCTTAACAAAAGAAAACAAAACACACACACACAACAAACAAACAAACAAAAAACTCTGAAACTGGTGTATGTAATTAATGAAAAAAAAAAAACCAAAACAACAATAAAAAGTCAGACGTGGTGGCACTTGAGAGACAGGCAGAAAGATCTCTGTGAGATCAAGACCAGCCTGGTCCACATAGCAAGTTTCAGGCCAGCTGGGGCTACAGGGAGACCCTGTCTGAAAAAGACCAAAACAACAGTTTTATATATTTACATATATAGTCAAATATATTTAAACCACTTATAGTTAAAAATCACTTATTAGCCCATTACTACTTGTAATTAGAAGCATTTTTAATGTTAAGTTTAATTCCCAGAGACTATTTAGGTTACTATGATTATTATGCCTTTGTTCTCTTTTTTGTTTATTTTTTGAGACAGAGTTTCACACCATAGCCCAGGCTGGCCCGGAACTGACTATATAGCCCAAGGTGGCTTCAGACTAGGAGCAATCTTCCTGCCTTAGCCTCCAGAGTATTGGGATTACAGGTGAAAGAGACTAGAAGAGAGTTAGGCAAATAAATTAGGCAGATAGTCAGGGAATGAGACTCCAGACTAGATTGAACTGAATTTCAGTTACTTTCACTTTCATCAAGATGGCCTACTTCGGGGTCTTTGTCCTAAACTGACCCTTTTGGTGGGCTCCCTCTGGCGGGAATTTCAAACTTCTTACCCTTGCTTTACCCAATCAGGTTCCTGTTTTCATGAGTGAACCAACTAGAAACATGCATTCTGCCCTGTCTAAACCAAAGGCAGAAAGAGAAGCCCAACCCAACCCCACCTCCTAACCTGAATAATATAAAACCCCAGGCTCTCCATTGAAGGGGATAGATGATGTCCCAGGTCTGGACCCCTCCTCTCTTTGTGTGCTGTGTGGAGTGTTACTTTTGCTTTAATGAAACTTGGCTGTGTGCTGTGACTACAAACTTCTCTTCTAATTCTTTACCTGGAGAAGAAACAGATCCAAGAAAAGACCCCTGGGTGGCATCACAGGCATGTAACCTAACACCCAGCTGAAATTATTCTCACAGAACATCTGTGCAAGCTCTTCCACCCATAGTGGGCTTGCCATCTAGACTAAAACAGGCTATGAAGTTCAGGGTCATGTGAGCCTATCCATGGCCACCTCCTTGGCCAGCACTGAAAACCCCCAAATAGATTGAAATAAAGCTGATAGTAAGCATCATTAGTAAGATCAGTTGTCACAAGTATCACTGTGTTCAGCTGGGGCAGAGTAGTAGGAAGTTTCAACACTTGAAGAAGAATCAGAAGAAGAATCAGAACGTCTGCCTGGCTGTCAGCATCATATAGATCTTCCATGAAGCAAGCAAGTTAACCCACTTCAAACAGTGAAATAAGTCACACTTCCCTAACAACCCTGTGGTAACTCCCCTTTCATGGTTAGTTTCCATTCAAACATGTTCCAGAACATATTCAGTAACTGGAGGAAAGTGGCTGATTCATCCTGAATGAGTTTTGGGTACATGTGTAGTAAGACAAACTGTGTCCTTTGAATGAAATTTTATGGAAAACCCTCTATTTGCCATCTTATGTCTGCATGATTAGGTGTGCATATGATTAAAATCAGATGCATCATGAGGAAAGAGGCATAATGAAGAAAGGCTTATATAACTCTAGCCTGTCAATGAAAACAGAAAATCACCCATATGCCACCCCTAGCAGCTAACTCCTCCTCCTGGATCATAAAAGGAGGTCCCAAATATCTCACTGCTCTGGAGCACTCTAGCACAGGTAGCCTGCTGTCCTTTACATCTTGTGCTGTTTATTTTTTTAATATTTATTATTTTTATGTATATGAGTGTATTGACTGTGTACAGGTGGGTGCACCCGTGTCATGCAATCAGAAGAGGGCATTGGATTCCCCTGGAACTGGAGTTACAGACATTTGTTAGCCTCCATGTGGGTGTTGGGAATCAAATGTGGGCCCTCTGCAAGAGCAGCAAGTGCTCTTAATGCTGAGCCATCTCTCCAGTCCCTTGTACTGTTTCTTTACATAAAACTTTTTGCCTCTTTGATATTTGTA